CAGCTGCTTTCCTACGATCACCTGACATCCGGATACATACCTCATCTTGGGATCTGTCGATCGCGATCCTGATCGGCGATCACGATTGGTGATCTCGATCAGCGATCCCGATCGGCGATCTTGAGCCATCTCTTGGTCGCCGTCGCGCGGTGATCTTCATCGTTGCTACTCATCCCGGGCCGGATGACAGCTGCCACTCGACGATCTCGTCCCGCCTCCTTCCTCCGACCCTGGATCACCATCTTGCCTTGACCTGGGATCGCCTTTACCCTGTGTGTCTAGATCTGTGGTAAGGGCGGCTCTAATGTTGCCATCTTTCTTCAATCAATATCTGCTGATCAGCCACAGTCCCGGATCCCGGGTCGACAGCGACTCATGTCCACCCATTCCTCTTGATCTTGTATTCTCGCGGCACGGTATGGGTATCGTCGTCATCCATCATTCCAGGGTCAATCTTGGGTCATCCGAAGGCAACGCACGATGGATCTTGGAGACGTGACTTGATGTCTTGGCTTGGGGTGGGATTTATGTCGCCTGGTCCGTCTCTATCTCGCGATCCGGCAGCCGAGATTACCTTTCTCGTGAGATCTTGACCGTACTTCACCACATCCGCCCTCGGCCTGCAAGTTGGACCGTCCTGGTTCATTTCAGGTCTCATTCCACAATTCGCCGACTCGGACGCAGCCTTCAGCCAGCCACCCCCATGCGTCAGTCAGGCAGCGACCACGGGAGTCCCCCAATTCCGAGTCCTCCCGACTCTCCGCATTCAACCGGAAGCAACCGATCGAGCCAATCCACTATCTCGCGTCACTCACGCTCCCACACCTCCGATCAGGGTCGGCGATTAGCCTCCTTGGAGGCCGAGCTACGCCGGAGCAGCCTCGCGCGTGATCGCCTAGTCCGGGATCGAGATCATCTTGATCTGCACGTCCGCCAGCTTCGATCCGACATCAGGGACATGGAAGTGTTCCAGCACGGCCAACGAGACGAGATCACCCGCCTGGAGGCCGAGATCTCAAACCTCGCCCATGACGCCGATGACGATCCCGAAGTCCTCCGCACCCAAGTTCTCCAACTTCGCACCGAGCGTAACGACTTCGACCGTCATGCGATTTCCGCCCGTGAAGATCTCCATCACGCCGAGGCCGACCGTTTTCGCCAGGATGCTAGATTCGGGAATTGCAGGAGCAGGTTCGCGGTTTGGAGCGCCAACACGACGACCCCAAGTCCGATCAGCCACAGCACCAGCCAGCTACAACCGTATCTCCACCAGCTTCGCCCATCAACAGCCAGATCGTGGAGGGAGATCTCCCCTCGGGGGTTCTGCCCGCCTGGCCCAGGCAAATCGGGATCGAGTGCTGGCAAACCTCGCGCTCGTCCGCGCGATCCTGACGCAGGTCACCTCCCATCGAGATCGGGCCTTCACGCAAATCGCCCAGGTCACTGAGGATCGGGATCTTGCCGATCGCGGTACAGCTCTCCAGCTTCGGAATAAGGCGATTGCCGAACGCGATCAGGTCCGGTTGGACCTCCTCTCCGAGGCTGCTCGGGCCGCCCAACTGGACGATGACTCGAGGTGGCTCGCCTGGAGCTTGAGGGATGGGAGGGCAGGATGGCAGATCTCCAGCTTGCCCACGACCAACTCGGCGGATTGCGAGATCTAACCGAAAGTGGTCTGACTGAGGCCAATCTGCTTCTCACGCACCTCGCTAGCCGGATCCGAGAGAGCCAAGCGGCCCGGATGCAGAAACGTGATCGAAGTCTACCCAGTTCTCCTCCCCGATTACTTTCTCTCAAGATGCCTCGCAGCGATCGGCCTACTTCTTCGCCGCCCGACCTAGATAACCCCGAGATCGAAGGTCCTGAGGGTGAGGAACTCGAAGATAAGCGCGAGATCCCAGGCGGAAGGGGAGGCGATGATAACCCCCCTTCTTCAGATAATGGATCCTCGACTCCTCCTCCCTCAACTCACGGATCTCGCGGAGGAAATCCAGGTGGTGGTCTCCTGATGGTGCGTCTCCAACTGAATCCACCGTTATTTCCTGCCGAGGCGAGTGTTCCTCAATATTCCACGGTCAAGATATTCACGGCAGCCGAGATCACCCCGTGGGATCCGGCAATCGTGGGATCCATACCGATCATCGCCATGGTTCAGTCCACTTTGACCAAGAGGTTGGCGATCCCGCCCGGCTTCCTGTTCCCTGCTCGGACGCCCTTCGTACGCCTTTACTTCGTACTCGTCGGCTCCGAGACCTGGAACCCAGCTCTCTCCGGCAGGATCTCATCGAAGTCGAGGCGATCCGATTCGTCCACCGTGAGGTCTATTCGCGGCCGATCCGGAAAGTCCTTGGCCAATTTCAGCTTCGACACGTGAACTACTGGGAAGATCTGGTACCTAGTACCCGCGATCTTGAGCTTGATGCTGAATTCGTTGATCTTTTCAGCAACCCGGAATGGCCCATGCCACAGGTGAGCCAATTTCCTCGCGTATCCTTCCTTCACCCAATTTCCGCGCGTATACTTCCTTCATCCGGTCTAGGTGTAACCAGACGCGAGATCCAGCCTCGATCCGGTGCGATCCGACGTCCTTGTTGTGTCGGCTGGCCTGATCCGCAATGACTTCCCTCAATCTGACGTTGACTTGCTCCCGGGACTGCGGATA